GTTGAAGAACTGTCCTCTGATGCCTCTAAACTTCCCGCAGCAATGGCCCTGCCCATGCCTGCCCACTTTCTGCTCTAACACTCCAGAGGCAGGGGGCAGCTTTTGGACCTAGGAGGGTGTAAGTAACTTCCTCGCATAGACTTTAGTCCACCTCTTTTGTCTCTGGACAAGTGCAGAGCAATGAGCAGAAGTGGGGAGGTGGGGAGGAGCCCTGCATGGCTTCCCCTCGCCCTGGAAGCCTCTGAAGATCTGTTTTAAACTGCAGTTCTACTGGAGGCAGCTACCATGTTTCCCTACACTTCTCTTTTCCTGAGTGAAGGTTCATGTACATGCCCCCAAACCAGCCATAGTTGTGAGACCTACCTTCCCGTCTTCTGAAATAGGAAACAAATAAAACACACCACCACATAAAGCACCTTTATACATATCACATCCAATGTGACTGGGTCTTCATAACCATCCTGAACGACTACTGGATTCTTTTACAAATGAAGAAATGGGCTTGGGGAGATGAGGCGTTTTGTCCATGGTGTCATTGCTGGCTTCAGTGGAGCTGAAACTTGGCCAAAGAGCTCCCATGTGCTTTACGGAAAAGTACAGAGTGACTCTATGACCACTAGAAATTGCAATGCTGAGTGCTGAATACAACACTCCAGATGAGTCTGACCAGGGCCAAATAGAGCAACAAACCTGGCGCCCTTCCCGAAAGATGTCTGGGGCACTCTTGACCCACGGGGAGCACATCTTGCCCCCCCTTTTTTATTATTATTATTATTTTTTAGAGACAGTCTTGCTCTGTTGCCCGGACTAGAGTGCGGTGGTGTGATCTCGGCTCACTGCAAGCTCCGCCTCCCAGGTTCATGCCATTCTCCTGCCTCAGCCTCCCGAGTAGCTGGGACTACAGGTGCCCACCACCACGCCCGGCTTAATTTTTGTATTTTTAGTAGAGGCAGGTTTCACCGTGTTAGCCAGGATGGTCTCGATCTCCTGACCTCGTGATCCGCCCACCTTGGCCTCCCAAAGTGCTGGGATGACAGGCCCTCTTGCCCCCTTTTTGACAAGCGTTGCTATCAAGCCATGAGTCCTCACACTTAGACTCCAGTAGCTGGTTTTACGGGGAACTGAGATGTGAAGACATACACCAATCACTACTAGCATCTTGACAGATCCATGCCTCATTCATATCTACCAAGACTGGCTCCGTGCCCTTGATGGTACAGTTATTAAACACCGGAACGAACCCAGAACCCAGAACGCCCAGCATGAATCCTGCTGCCTCAGTGTCCTAAACTATAAATCAGCAAACCCATTTCATAAGGTTCTGCTATTAGGTGTAAAAACGCACAGTGTCTGATAGAGGAGGCGCTGAGTGGGCGCTGGCTCTAATTGTTACATTACTTGCCTGTGTCATCAGATCAGCTGACAAGCACACTTTTGGTATTTTTCCAAGTAATGAGAAAATTGTTGACCGAATCAGGGCAAAGGACACTACTCCCTCTAGGTTGACAAAAACACACATATCAGCAGCCTTCTGTTACGTTGTTTGACTGTTTTCAAGCTCAACAGTGACAAAAGGGCCAGGAGACCTGGGTGTAATTCCTGACTTCAGCATGTACCTGCCGTGGGGCTGTGGGTAAGTGATCCCTCCATGGTTTATGGGTCTCTTTGTGCCACAGGAATAACCAAAGTGCCTATCCTTTCACGGAGGTAGTGTCTGGAAAGCACCTGGTAGATGTTAATGGCTTCATAAATGTTACTCAGTATTACCATAACACCCAGCTCTTATTCGCTCCTCTTATTTAAAGGGTATTTTCAGTGATCTTGTCAAAATGTTTTCTTAAATCAAAACACCACACAGTACTGTTTCTATATTAGGCCTTTAAAAAGGAACTTACATGTTGGTTCCTAGGAGCTCACTTTGGGGCCCCTGAGGGAACTGCCAGCTCCTGGAGGAGGGCCCATCTCATGTCTTGCAACATGGGTGCGTCTCCAGGGCTGCTGCCGAACCACACGGGTGCATGTCTTGGTCTGTCCTTGACATCCTTTATTTTCCCCACCAGGTCCCCAGATATCTCATGCTGCCCTGAGAATTATTTTGGAAAACAAATAGTGTACACTAAATAGCTTATTAGGTGCTAACGCTCTAAGGGGTAGCTGAGTTTTTGGAGGTCCCAAAGAAGACTGAAAATTCAAAGGCAAGCATTTGAAATAGTGATTTTTTGGAGCCTGAGACACATATACAATTGAACAGAGGATTCGACCACCTTCCGCCTCCCAAATTACCCCAAATCACAATCTGTATCCTGCTTCATCTACACAGAAAAGCACCTCTTACATTGTGTTACCAGAATATTAGCAACTAACTTTTAAATGTTGTATTTTTTTGTGAAACATGTATACAGTTATTAACATACTATGAGAAAATAACTTCTACTGCTATTCTGATAAAGTTCAATACATACTGACGTACGTGTTAGTTAATATTTTACTAGATCGGTAGACAAATAATGGCATGATTAATTATTTCTGAATGTCTGTGTGCCAGGATCTTTGGAGCCCAAATAAGGCAAATGTAGGGCACATCACCAGAGGTAGAAGTTCAGGTCAAGTGAGGAAAAGGGCTGATGGCCGGCCAGTGACACACCCATGTGCAGGTATATGCTTTTTCTAAGTGCTGATCCATGAATCCACACTCCACTACTTTGGCCTATTCACGAAGCACTTAGAAAGTGCTATCAGAAAAGTAACACTTTGCGACAAGCCAAGTTTTGATTGCTAGAACAACAAGGACAACAAAAATGATTGACAGGAAAACTAAATCCATCATTATTAAGAACAAAGCAAACATGAAATGATCCTTTACATTACAGAAATCAATCTCAGAAAACCTCTTATTTTGGCCATTACTAGAGCTTTTCTCTTGCCTCAGAACTTTAGAAACTTGGAGACCTCTTTTCCTTTCCTTTCATAGACAAGTTAGAAATTAACCAGCTCTAAATAACTTCAAAACCAGTAGGCCTCATGCTCTGAGATAATGGGAAATATTTTCTTTATTTTGCTTTCATCCTCTTACTTCTATCTGTGCTCGACCACTCATCCCCCTTTTTTGAGTCTTCTCTAACGTAGTCTGAACACACGGATACGTCTACTGCATTTTCAGCTGTGCGCACCAACAGGCGGTGTGCTGCAGAAAGAGGAGCAGCCCATGCAAGGGCCCCTCCCTAGGTAGCATGGCCCTACCCAGAGACCCATAAGCTTGACTTGGGGAAGGATCAGGATTACTTAGCAGCAAGACTGATACTGAAAATCAAGAGAAAGGCAAACGTTTATTCAGATAATTGGACAGACATTTTTCTCTGCCATAATACATGAAGTCTGCAATACCTTAAGTCACTACAGGACTTTGCTTTCAGATACATTCCAGTGACTTCATCAGAACTTGTTAGGAAATTAAACAGTGCTTGATCAGTGACACTAGACTATGAATCCAAGTTAAGAGAAACGACTTAGCACACTCTGAATAATTTTTTCCTAATAACATAATTATTTCCTGCTCAAAGAGAAAGTGGTACTTAGCATGTCATGGAGAGGACAAACTGGCCCTGCAACTTTAAAGGGCTATGAAAACCACCACCAGCATTTTAGGTGCAAATTATCATGCATAAAACGAACCGCTCAGCAAGTTTATCAGTACACAAGCATGCCTGCCGCCCAATACGACCACCACAGAGAGCGCCAAATGTGAATTTTAATAAGCCCTCTTTATAGTATGATGATCAGCTGAGCAATCGTCATAAATCCGCAGAGCCTCAGCACCTAAGGTGGTAAAGAAAACAGCACTCACCTTAGTGTCCAGACATTAGTGAAGACACTGCCTACCTTTGTCAGGACAGACATCAGCAGATGGCCAGTCCACATTTGCCTCCTAGAAGAATTTCAGAATTGAGGTTGAGTTCAAATTCCTAAGTTAAAAAATGTAAGTTTCAGAATTTAAAAAATGAAGCCTACATGCTTTCAAACAGCAATGAAGTCGTCATGATGAGGATGTAAATCCACAGTAAAATGGGTGTTTATCTGATATATGGAAATGTGAGAGGAGGACACCTTAAGGACACAGCTGGGCTGCACCACAGTGAAGCTTGCTGCAGTGTTCAGCAGGCAAGGGGCACTCCCAGGGACGTCGTCTCCAGCGTGAGCAGACTCAGACCTGGCGCCAACTAGGAAGGCAGTGTGGTTTGGTAAAATGAATGTAAAGTAGAGCTATCTCAAACTATTTAAGGGTAACAGAATGTTCTTCCTTTTTCCACAGCGAATTCTCCAGTTTCCGACGTCCCACACACCTACCAATGCCTACTTCCCAGGTACGGCTACTCAGGCACGCAACCTGGAGGCCCCTCTGTTTACGGCTTCTTAGCCTGGCCTGGGTAGGAAGGCAGGTGTTTGTTAGGACAAAGGGTTGTTTTAAGTTCACCTCTTTCCCTTACAGAAATTGGATGCAAATAGCTGAGGGTAAGGAAGCAGAGAATGGTCTCCACTTTAATCCATGACCCCAAGCCATTTCCATGCTCCAATCCTGGCTGCCCCACTTTCTTTCCTCCTTTGTGTGTAAACATCACCTTTCCTAGGCCCGGTGGCCAGGCCACTTGCTGGGCGGAGGTCCTGGAAGTTCCACTTCACCAGGTCTCCTGTCCGCTTCGGTTCTTTGGCTTCAGTCTTTGGATTAATTCTTCACCTTCGATACCGTATTATGGGACTGATGATGTAAACAGGTTGCCTGACAGAAGCAGCAATGAAAGGGCTGTTTCTTCTAAAGTCCAGCATGCAATGATTTAGTCAATTCAAAAAGAATGGGGTAAGAGAAAAATTCCCATGTTTTCTTTTCACTGATTTTATTTGTATTAGGTAGTTTTCACTCAGAATATCTATCAGTTCATTTTTCAGGTTTAGATATATGTATATGTATCTGTTCGTATGCATTAATTACTTAGAAACTTTATTTGGTATAACTTCACATTTTTGGTATATAGAAATTTTATTTTCTTAATGCAGCACAGTAGACATACAATCAATATTATTCCCTAGAATGTGCAATATATAAATTATTCACATTAAAAAATTAAGAACAGAAAGCCGCATATGCAGTAAATATTTAAAAATGTATATCTAACTTTGATTTTGTTTCTGACAATATACACTACTAGCTTTACAAATCTGAATGAATATGACATTTACACATTTGAATGAAGTACACGGATGGGTCCATTCCGGATGCTTACTACACTATATGAATAATTTGCTCTTCACTTTGGTCATTGAGATTCCATGTGCTGAGGCATACAGTGGACCCGAAAGATACTTCCAGAAGTACATTTAGTACATTGGCATCTTAAGAATTTCTCTTCCTTTTATTCTCCTTTATAGCGAGGGGGCCTTTTCTCTTTAAAAGCAAGAAGACCTTCAAGTCTGTCTTTCGTTGGAATGGTCTAAGAAAAACAAAATATTAAATATGTCAAAAATGTTAAAACAGCTGTAAAAGTTTATCAAGCACTATCTAAGAAAACTACTTAAAACCACATTCTAAAATTTTAAAATCTATCAGTCACTTGAACAATTCTCCTTATTATGTAACCAAACTCATCTTCCTTACTCCAAGTAGTTCTCTACCTCATTTTGCTCTTCTTTTTCTAGTTTCCTAACAAGGTGGAAAGTTATTATTGATTTAGATCTTTTCTCTAATATATGCATCTAATGCTATTTCTATCTAAGCACTGATTTCAATATATCCCACAAACTTTGAGAAGTTGTATTTTCATTTTAATTTAATTTGAAATATTTTAGAATTCCTCAAGACACTTTTGACATACAACATTATTTAGAAAGGTGTTGTTTAATCACCAATATTTTGGGCTTTTCTAGCAATCTTTCTTTTATTGATTTCTAGTTTAATTCCATTGTGGTCTGAAGAATACCTTGTATAATTTCTGGTTTTTACATTTAGTTAAGTTGTAATGTATGGCCAAATGTGCTTTTAAAATTTTTCTTTGGGCTCTGAGTCTATTTCTAAGACATGTGCAGTTCACTTTCCTCATGGCATGTACTCATCAATGACAGGTGGTGATTTATATATACAGGCTGCGCACAGTCACACTCTAGATACTGCTCCTTTAAACGAGAGCTCATGCAGTTTCCAACTCTCAGGAAAGGTAGAACAAAACTTTTTTGCTATTTCAAATGCCCTAAAACGAAGTTCTATCTTTCAGAGAAAGACGAAAAAGGGAGAACATTTTTTTTCCTCTACTGGGAGACCTACTAATTTGTATGCAGTCATCCCTCAGTATCTGCAGGGGATTGGTTACAGGACCTCCTTCCTGCAGATGCCAAAATCTGCACATACTCCAGTCCCTTACATATTAATAAAATGGCATATCATATTACCTATGCACATCCTCCTGTATACGTTCAATCATCTCTAGATTATTTATAATACCTAATATAATATAAATGGCAAGTACACAGTTGTTACATTGTTTAGGGAATAATGATAAGGAAAAAAGTCAGTACATGTTCAGTACAGATGCAATCATCCTTTCTTTCCCCCTGAATATTTTCAATTTACACTTGGTTGAATCCACAAATGCAAAACTTACAGATGAAAAGTGCCGGTTGTGTCAAAAATAAAACTATAATTTCATTAGTGAACTTTCAGTGGGCAAGAGAGAAGGCTCAGAAGTTCAGGAAAAGCCAAGGAGTCTCACCCCAGGTTGCGTGGGCCGGCACACGCTCGCCACCACTCTCCTCTACCTCTCTACACTGGAGTGGGAGGCCAGAGTCATACGTGCAAAAGAAAGCATAAGCCTAGAGAGACAGCTCCTGCACAGCCAGGACTGACTCAGTTACTCTAAGAGTTTTCCAGATTATATAGACAAAAGACATTCCTGTGGAACAGAATCAGTCACAACAGCTGGTAACAAATAGCAGAAACAACTAATTTCAGCCCATTTGTATGATTTTGGAATGGGCACAAGGATAATCTTGCTCAGTGAAATTCATTTGAATTATACAAAAGGTAAATACAATTTGTAAGGGTCATCCTCATTGAATCTGTGATTGTATTACATACCTGAGCATAACAAGCTTCTTCTATGGCTAACCCTGTTACTAAATCGACCTGAGAATAAAAACATAATCCATTTCAGCAGAAGTAACTTTGTAAAATATGGTACAGTCAACAGAAATTCAAATTGAATAACCCTACCCCCAAAGCCCCCAATCCTTTGATACAGTTCAGCAGACAGCGTGTGACCAACACGAGACTCAGAACCAGGCTTCCTGGGTTCGTCCGGACTCCGTCACCTGGGAGCTGAGTTACTTGGGGAAGTTATTTAACCTCTCTGTGCTTCAAGGAGGCATGTATGAACAAGCGGCTAATTATAATGCTCACCAAATGCGAGAATTGTGAGGATTAAATGAGTTAATCCAGGTGAGGCCTTTATATCGCAACACACACACACACACACACACACTCACGATGCTTAGTACATAGTAAGGGCTATATAAGGTATTTGCTATTAGTATTGTTACCATTATGTAAATATTTAAATAAACCAAATACTTTTGCAAATTTATGAAACTGTATTTACTGCTAATAAAGTCCATCTCTTTTTACTGCTATACAGCCCAGGGAGATATGGAGGTTACTCAGTCTGCAAGAAGGAAGCACTTTTTCTTCAAAATACCCATAATTTAACCAAAATATAACAACTGCCATGAAAAGTCCAATAAATGGGTACGTGCACCATCTCCTCCTCCCTGGCCTGGGACCTCCACTCTTTTGGAGTCATCTCCCTGGGGTACCCCCAGGACACACAATGGATTCACCTTGCATTGCGTGTGCCTCCCTGCAGAAGGCACACTGAGAAGCAAAGGTAGAGAGAGCTAGGAGTTCTCCTTGGAATGTTTTATGTAATATAATACCGATGCTAAAAATACACAGAATGCCCTGTCCCTCTGGTTTTCTATGAACTACTAGCCAATAAATCTGTCTACTAACTCGATGGCAAAAGTAATGAGCATGTCATAAGCTTCAGGGCACTGATAAAATTACTGAATTCTGTGCTTATGATACTGAATTAGCAATAACCGTAAGAATGAAATAAATGACGTAGCTGCAAGGAACTTCAGTAGCTTTCAGTAATAGTAGCATTTAAACAACCATATTTTAGAACTTAAAAAAAAATGTGGAAGTCTAAACATGGTTCATTTAAATTAAATCTCCACTCTCCATTTCCAAAACAAACTCAAGCATTAAGGAACCTACCTCCATCCCTTGATTAATTGCTAATTTTGCCACTCTCATTGCAACAGGTCCCTAAAATTCAAATTAAAGAAACAGACTTTAATTATTTATGCAAATTATGTTGTATATCTCAGTAAAATTCAGAATTCCCACCACTGGATCCATGGCACAGCCAGCAATGGCTGTCAGACACTAGACGGAAAATTTTCTAAGCCTTGCAAGGCTGTAATTAAAGAGCAACTGCAACAATTGCATCAGCACATTATTTAGATTCCACAATGTTCTGTTATGCTGCAAACTCCGGATCCTTAAAGGTGAGCAGGTAGTGTGTCCAGCTGTGAGCTTGCTGTTCTTCAGCAACACTTCCTAGAAGTTAAGTAGAGGAAGGAAAAGGAGGTAAGGTCTTCGCCTCAGTACCATACCAATTAGGGGTTTTGACAGAAGCTTGGGCCGAGGATGAAGCTGTTGCTATTGATTAAGGTAGGGTTCTGATATCATCTCTTTCAGACACTGGCTCTCTATCTTTCCTCTGTTAGCCTTGATAACTAATAGTAATGATGGTGGATTAATCAAGAGTGTCCTCTAAGCAGTGCTCCCACAGCACAAATAAAATTGAAGTCTACATAAGTCTTTCAGGATGTAGGAGAGTCACTGAGGAATGAACTGGATATCGGCTGTGAGAAGGAAAATGTTACCTGTGTCTTGCAGAAGCCAAACTCTTACCAAGCTATCCTACCTCAGATGGAATTTCATTATTTGATCGCATTTTAAAGTCCTAAATACTGTTTATGGGTGATGAATGTGAATTCAATGCTATATTTTGAACTGAATGCTCTTTTGAATTAAAACACAAGGTAGTCTCTAAACAACAAGCACAGCAAAGGACTCTTGGATGGTGACATGGATGAATGCATGAAAAGACACGTTTTCCTATCAAGGAGTTTCTATTATTAAATTTGACCTATCTAAATTTTCTTCCAAATCATGTTTACAAATCTTTTTCAAAGGCCACAATTTCCAAGGCTATACTTAGTAGACAAGTATCTTATTGACAATTCTTCCCATTGTGATGTGCCTGTGTGGTAGACACCAATACCATTTTTTTTCATGATAATCCATTTCATTAAACGGTGTGCTCCTCTAATTTTTCCATTTTCATCGTCAACTGACCAAAAAAAGGTGCTTGTCAAACTCCTAGAGATGCACACAAATCCCCATCCTTTTTGTGGAAATGCAGATGTGGACTCAGTGGGTCTGAGGTGGGTGAGATTCTGCACATCTAACAAGCTGCCAGGAGATGCCCAGGCTGCTGGTCCACAGACCACACTTTGGGAAGTAAGGTTTAGAAAACCATGAGAAAAACAAGAAAATTCAAAATGCTATTAGAGACAGTGCTTGATTTAATGTTTCCCCCTTTAAAACATAAAACCAATGCCTTTTCTCCTTTACAAGCCTTTTTTTCTCAGATAAATGGAAGTAATATATAATACAGGTATCACCTAGAAATACTAATTTTACAGAAGCTTTCAGTTACCTGGAGGACTAATCATTTGGCAACAAAGTAACAAACATAAAAATAAAGATGATTCCACTCAAACTTCATTTGGTAACTTGTGCATATAATTTTGCAGTCACATATTTTCTGAAGTAACTCCACATCTGCTTATACATTTGACCTGGAGGAAAATTAATTTTAACAATCAACATTCTGAAGGAGTGTCCTTCAAATGAAAGGTGACAAAGGCACACGCGCAGGGACTGTGATGACGGCTGGGTGACCACGCAGTGGGATGCGGCTCGACACACTGGGAGTGGAAGGAGGGAGCAGAGGGGAGGATGGTGCTCACGTTCTCAGGCGGGGCGGTGTGTGGATGGTGGTGGCATTTGCTGCATGGCGGTCACAGGAGCATCATGGGAGAGAGAGCAAGTCAGGCCCTAAGGGGATAATAAGCTGCCTATAGGGAGCTCTGAAGCAGAGAACTGAACATCCATGTCAAGAGGCCAGGAGCAGGCTCTGCAGATCATCAGAACTGGAATTCCGCCATAACCTTTCTTAAACACACCCCTTTCTTTCAACTGAGATATGTTTTGGTCATAAAGTTTTAAGCCAAGCTAAGTTATAACACCAATATTCAGTCAAATTATTACTCTCCTGATACTTGTACCTTTAATTTCTCTTTAGGTAGAGATTTCTCTCATATCTGGGGAGCATAAATAAGTTTGTAGTAAGAATATTTTCTCTTTAAGGCAAAAATCTTTTTTAAGTTGCTTTCCATCCGTCCAACAAATACACATTGAGCATCTACTGAATGTATGGCTCTGCATTACCTTATATGGGGAATAAATTATGTAACAGTCCTTCCCTAAAAGAGCTAACAGCTCCTAAGTTAATTAAGAAGGACCAGAGCGTCAATGCCAGGCAGCGTGGTTTTAAAAACTGATTCAGCAGGTGCATACCAGCAGCGTGGGGCCTGGTTTGTCAGCAAAGGCTCCTGTGCCGAGTGCCAAGAATACTTTCTGAAACTGGATGCAAGACCTGAACAAATGTGAACATTCATGCATTTTTTAAAAGATTCAAATGCATGAATTTGGAATCTCATGGCATTCCCAAAAAGATTCACAGCCCACAAAAAGGTTATGAATTCTGTTTGAGTCAAGCAACCCTGAGTTAGAGAGAAAAACTATTTTGACTCCAGAAATGGTTAGGGGGTTATAAAACTTCAAATTCCACAGGAATAAAGAAAGATCACTACTGCTTACACCACAAAAGAAGACCCTTTCTCTCAATTTAAAGCCCTTTAATCTTGTGATTTCAGACCAAAGGCATATTTGAAAAATAAATCTGAATGGGTGACAAAAAGCTTCAAAGAGGACTGTCAGTGCACGGCCACTGATACCACTCCGGAGTCAGCCATATGCGTCGTGTTCTAGATTTTGAAAGTGTACTTGTGGGAAAGCACAATGGAGTGAAAACGATGCCTACACCACCATAAGCACACACACACAGAAAGACAAACAACTACTGCTTTTCAAGCAGGCTCTTCACTTTTCAAGTGAAGCCACTGCAATGAAAGTCCACGGTGGCACAACAGACTATGGTACCTTACTAGAAAACAGCATATTTCAATGTATTTTGACTGGGGGTGGCCCAGTGTGACAGCCAGCCCTGTCACTCTTTCTCTCCATGGCTACGGCTTCCGTTAGAGCGCTCCGCTGGTGAGCACATTAAAACACCTGGCTAGGAAGTTGTGCACACGTGACAAGTGTTGTCAAGGGATATTTTATCAAAGTGTGGTTACGAGAAGACCCTTGGAGCATCTTCAAAGCCTCATCGGAATTCCACAGGATCGTAGTGTTTATCTCGTGTAACCGCTCCAGTTTTACACAGCCCATGCACCCCTTTACTTGGAAGCAGGCCAGGGACTTCTTCGGTAGGCAAGGTGACTGCTGTTCTAGTCAAAGTGTTATAAAATTTCCTAAAATGAGAAAAAATAAACTCTAATGAGAAATACCTGAGGTAAAAACTCTCTGGCCAGGTCCAGGGCCTTTCTGTAGGCAGCATCTCCCTCCTGGTTCTGTTCCAGAACGTGGCTGATTAAGCCCACTGCTTTGGCCTCTTGGCCATCGAGGACTCGCGCAGAGAATATGAGCTCCTTGGCCAGGGACATTCCAATGGCGCGTGGCAATCGCTGTGTTCCCCCTGAGGGGTGAAGGAGAGAGAAAAGGCAACGATTTGATACCTGTTAGTTTTAACACTTCAGTGTTTCGTATCTTCATTTATAAAAATAAACCAGGGCCAGAAGTTTATATATTAAAATTAGTAGCTGGAAAACTACTTCAGAACAGGATCTAATTTCTTAATTCCCTTATAAAACTAATAACACCAAAAAAGGACTTGAGAACCTTACATCCTTCTTAAGTGACTTTGGCACTGAGTATCACCTGCAACCTCTCTGACATACTCTGAGTCCAATCCACAGTCATCACCACGTCAGTAACCATCAGGTGAACAGCAGTGGACAGGCAGTGCCAGCCAGTAAGTCCACTGACTACAAAGGCAGAGTTCCACCAAGCTTGGCATTCTTCTTTCAGCTTAAATAAATCTTAACACATTGTGAGACATTCAACTCATTTTTTTTTTTTTTTTTAAAGAATCCTTTATGGTGAATACACTGTAAACAAATTTTAATTTAGAAATAAAACCAGACAATGACTCATGAAAACAGGCTTTGTCCTGCTGGTAGTTATTTTCTCAGTGCAAGTTCTGGTCATCTCTGTTAGCTCTTCTCTTGGAGATGCTCTCTCACATAAACACACCCTTTTCCAGTTGGTGAGGCAAATCCACGGTGTGTGGAGTCAGAAGCCATGCATTTAGTTTTGACGTTGCCACTTACTACTTTAGGGACTTCAGGAGTTGATTAACTCTTCAACTCCAAGGGAACACAGTGGGTATATTAGTAGGATTTAGGGTAAACCTAGGTCAAAACAGTTCTGCAGCAAAAGATGCCTATTTTGCTGAAGATGGCCTAACTCACTAGATCCATCTAAGTATTCACTACAGTATCCGCTACAGTATCTTCCAGTGATGAGGACGGGATCTAATTAAACACAAAGCTGGGCAAAAGCAGGTAACACAGGTCTAGCCTCAATGTCTACCAAGAAGAATATGAAAACAGCTTCAACATCAGTGTTCACCTAAATCTTACCCTATCAATGGCTGTGCCAGGAGGCAGAGGAGCTGCGGACTGCCCCCTTGCAGAGCAGGAAAAGCAAACTGACGCCCACTGTCTACACAAGCTCACTCACTGGATTTCACTTGGCCTACAAAATTTAAACCTTTTCTTTCTGCATTAGTTAGCAACATTTAAAACTAGATGAGTGATTTTATCTAAAAAACCAACTTCCACCTGTATCAACTGCAGCTGTGCCTTTTGGACACAACATTTTTTCATGTGTCAGTGTCCACCACCCTCCATTACTGCAATGCTCCAGAAAGCCTTACTCTAGTACTTTTCCTTTAAAGGAAAGCAAAATCATTTCTTGTTCACATCTCTATGAAAAGTGGAAAAAAATTAAAGACCACAAGAAGGCACACGTTTAATAAAGTATGCCTCAGTTGGAAGAACAGAGCTTAAGATGCCATTATTAAGCAAACCATATTAGGAACCATAACTAATATTTAGAAAACAGGTAACATTTAGAAAAAGAAACCCTGAATGAATTGCAAAAGGACTCATATTTTCAATACAGATTGTTTTCAAACAAATACAATAATGCCACTGCAAAATGCAGTTATTACATGCTTAAGCTGCCCAAGCAGTTAGAGATGGTGAGTTTATACAGGTGTTTACTCGATACAGAAGAAAATATGTGTCTGAAGACAATGAAGCATTGACAAATTTAAATTTAACTTTCGACAATGATGTTGCTCAGTGTAGTAAAGATAGGTTTGAGAACTTATGGGATAAGCTGCAGGGAAAAGACAAGCTATTTATGGTGCTTCCAATGGCAGCTGATTAGAACACAGATACAAATATAACTCAGATAACTATATTTATTCATGGAGCTGATGAGAATTTTGATGAGACTGAAGAACTTAACGAATATATATTATTCATGATAAGTGTATTAGGAAATGGTTCTTTTTCTTGTTCTATGAAAAGTTTAATGTAGACTGGTCAAAATTAACAAATGTGACCCACATTGTTAATGTCACACTTTTTATTCAACATAAACATTTTCCAAGTCCCTGAAGCTCACACTCGTTCATCATATTGTTCCATTTATAGTATGATTCTGAGGTATGAGGATTTTTGCAGAAACTTAACAAAGTAACGGTCATGTAGGTGGTAACTAACACTATGAAAAAGACCCAGTCCCTTAAGCTGAGGTGCAGACAGCTGGATGCTTTGTTTCCTAAGCTGGATGCACAACACAACACATGGCTGGCGGGCCTGCCATGGAGGCGAGAGGTATGGTGCAGAAGAGAGCTACCTTTCTGACTCACTGAAACCGATGCATCACAGGAACCAGGCGAAAACCCTCAGCGTGGCTCACCCACTAACACTGCATCCAGGACTTGACCTTTTCGGATGACATCACAAGCCAGCTACTTTATCGCCTCATGTAAATGGAATCATTCAGCACTTGTCTTTTTGTGATTCAGCTGTTCACTTAGTGTAATGTCCTCAACATCCACCTCTGTGGTAGCACGTGTCAGAGATCCATTCCTTTCTAAGGCTGAATAACATTCCTTTGTACATATAGCCCACACTTCGCTTACCCATTCATCTCTGGAAGGACACCTGGGTTGCTTTACCTTTTGGCTATTGTGAATAATGCTGCTATGAACATGGATATACAAACACCTCTTCAAGACCCTGCTTTGAATTCTGCTTTCAATGTACACAGACTGGGACTGCTGGATCATACAGTAATTCTAGTTTAATTTTTTGAGAAACCACCATAATGTTTTCCATGGTCACCAAACCATTTCACATTCCTACCAACAGAGAACAAGAATTCCAATTTCTCTACACCCTCACCAACACTTACTATTTTTTTTAATAGTAGCCATCCTAATGGGTGCACAGTAGCATTTTGAAACCCGCCCAATAGTCCCATAGACAGTTCTTTTTGGATAAACACAGAAATTGACCCTTCTGCTGTTAAAGCTTGAAACTTGCATCTGTTTTGAGTTTCTTCCCCAGAGAAGGACCTTCAGGCCTTTCAAAGAAAAGTATCAAAGAACCAAAACTCAGCAGATCACCACACCAGATGACTCCCTGCCCCTCCCTAGTTCTTGTTTTCTTACACATTGTTACATTTCTTCCCTGCTATATAAACCCCTAGTTTTAGTGGGTTAGGGAGATGAATTTGAGGCTGAGCTTCCATCTCAGCAGCAGCAGCCAATTAAAGCCTTCTTCCTTGGCAGTACTTGTCGTGACAGTGATGGGCTTTCTGTGCGGTGAGCAGGAGGACCTAGACCAAACCCCTGGTGTTTTGGTAACAATTTCATTGTGAGTAGTGATGCTTTTCCCTAATGACTAGTGACAAACAGCAAGTTTTCATGTGCTTATTGGCCATCCATATATCGTCTTTGGAGAAATGTCTATTTAAAGTTCTTTGCCTATTTTTAATTTGCGTCTTGAGTTATTTCATTTGTTGAGTTATAGGAGTTCTTTATACATTCTGGATATTAATCCTTTATCAGATACAGACTTGCAAATATTTTCTCCCATCCCATGGGTTGCCTTTTCACTCTGTTGATAGTATCTGATGCATAAAAGTCTTTTAATTTTGGTCCAATTTACCTCTTTTTTCTCTTGTTGCCTGTGTTACCAGTGTCATATCCGATTGCGAAATCCAATGTTATAAAGCTTTTTCTTTATGCTTTCTTCTAAGAGTTGTATACTTTTAGTTCTTATGCTACGGTCTTTGATCAGTTTTGTGTTAATTTTTGCACAGGGTATAAAGTATTCCCAACACCACTTCTTGAAAGGGATGTTCTTAAATGATTACACAAATACATGATTTCATTCACTCATTCCCACTGAAATTTTAACTTGTAGAACATTTGTTTGGCAAGAAATTATCTCGGTTTGCAGAAATCTAAGACTGATGGCCTGAATTATATATATTTTTACATGTGCGGAACTGAAAGTAAACTGTCCCCTTCACCCCTCAGGCATACCAAATTCATGATTTCAAATTTTATAAAAATGATATAATCTGTTCAGTTTGCCTTTTTCAATTACTAACAATACCATGAGCAAAGAACTTTACAAATGGAAGTTACAATGCAATATTGGACAACTAAACATGATTGATATGGAATCTAATATTTTTACAAATATCGCAGGAATAGTTACCTCAAATGGCAAAACTTTTTATGCCCACATTCTTTTCCAGCTTGAAAGTACTTAAATTTACTAACAGGCATTTTCTATAATTAAACTAAATGAAACTCAGTACTCTTGCTGGTTAAGGAAGTCAAGTAGTGCAGAAAAACATCCCAATCCAAAAGAAGAGATGTGCCACTGAAATCTTGGTGCAATTATAGCTCACTGTAGCGTCCACCTCCTAGGCTCAAATGATCCTCCTGCCTCAGCCTCCCCAGTTAGCACGCCATGCCTGGCATCAGACTGTAAGCTCCAAATGTAAAGAAGAGAACTAGAAAAAAAATTATTTCAATTCACCTTTTCTTAATTCTGAATATCAAACTCCAATATTAACTCAGAGTTAGGTAAAAGTGAAGACAGTGTATCCTATTTCTGTCAGTTGATTGTTTATACCAGGCTTGCTTCATTAGATTAGATCATATAATCTGCTAGTTCTCTTAGGCATTTGAATTCAGGATTCCTAAACAGTCTTGGTGACTGATGAAATTAAGCAGTGGAATTAAAAAACAGGATTGTCCTTTGTGAAATTATAATTGTTTCAGTCTGACAAGCAGCCCTAATGCATTCAAGGTGACAGAGGTCTATAAAACTATTCAAACTCACACTGTCTATCCCAACAGCTTCCAACACAGAGCCCTGACTCCTGGTCAGGATCTGCTCTGAGGCTCCCTGGGCTAGAGCCATATACTCAGGGATTATGACATCAGCAAGTAACACATTTCCAGGATACTCCTGCAGGTACTCCATGGTACTACTGGGTATGAGGAGAAAGGTGAAGCTAAACTGAGAATTCCAGGAT